ACCGTAGGATTTTAGAGAAGAAATTTTTATAACTGTATTTGGTATTGTGAGTGAAATGGATAAGAAAATGAACAGGAAAAAATAAAGATCAGGAAAGAGAACAATTAGAAATTGTAATCATCTCTGAATAAAGTAAAATGATTTGGGCTAGGGCTGGAGCAATAGCACAGAGGGTAGGGCATTTGCCTTGCATGCAGCCAACCCGGGTTCGATTCCTCCATCCCTCTTGGAGAGCCCGGCAAGCTACCGAGAGTATCCTGCTCGCATAGTAGAGCCTGGCAAGCTTCCCATGGTGTATTCGATATGCCAAAAATAGTAACAAGTCTCACAAAGGAGACAATACTGGTGTCCACTCAAGCAAATCAATAAACAGGATAACTGTGCTACAGTGCTACAGATTTGGGCTAAAGATTATAATGTGTGGCTGGCAGATGAGATATTAAAAATGTAACATAGGGGCTGGAGTGATCGCACAGTGGATAGGTCATTTGCCTTCCATGCTGCCAACCCGAGTTTGATTCCTAGCATCCCATATGGTCCCCTGAGCATTGCCAGGAGTAATTCCTGAGTAGAGAGTCAGGAGTAACCCCTGAGCACTGCTGGGTGTGACCCAAAAAGAAAAAAAAAGGAAATATAAAGAAATGAAAAAAAAAACTATGGAATGAATTGTGTCCCCCATCCCAAATTAATATGTTGAAGTTCTAGGCTCCATTACCTTCAAATGTGACTGTATTTGAAGAAAGAATTTTTGAACAGATACTTAAGTTAAAGTGAGGTCTTTGCAGGTAGACCAGAGATGAATGGTTTCTTTATAAGAAAATAAAATTTGGTATTCTCATATATAGAGATAAGATGGTGTGAACATACAGGAAAAAGAATGCTCTCTACCAATTAGGGAGACATCAGATTAGACCTTGACCTTGATCTTGGAATTTTACCTTCCAAATGTGAGATGATTTATATTGTTTAAACCAACCGCATGACTGTGCTTTGTATGGCAGCCCAAGAAAATGAATTCAGATGTCAACCTGGACCCAAGTCCATTGAAATCAGAGAGAACATAGACTCTGGGATGCTGAGAGTTAAGTTAAATTAAGCTCAGAAAGCAGCCAGGATGACCAGCAACTCTTGGCGTATGATGTTCCAGTCAAGAACTAGTTCTAAACTCCATCTACTGGTAGAGATAGATAGGGCTTATCAGATTCTCCCAAACAGTTCTCACTGGCTTAAAGCAGCTCAGTACTATATGGGGAGAATCATTTATTCTGATTCTGAGGAGAGTGAGAAGCAAGCAGGGGCTAAATGACTATCTCAATTCTAAAAAGTAACTGGATAGAAAAATTAAGCAAGATGGAATGCTCAATTCAGCCAGAACTGACTCCGTCAGCAAAGAAGATTGTATCTGAATGTTCCTTTAGTAGTAAATATATGTATATGTGATAGTATTGATGTTCAGTTTACAAGCTAAATACCTCACTTTTCTTTACCTTCATGTAGTCTGCCATAGATCGAGCTTTGTCCTTGTCCTCTGGGGTTACTATGACTTCCTTTTAACTGGTTTCTGTTTCAGGACTGTTTCCACAAAAGCAGACAGCTAAGGCATGAATAGGTACACTGCCTGTATGTCACTTGTATTTATACATTTTCCAAGGAACAAGATCACATAGAAAATCTTTCTGATTCTTTGTTCTAATCTCATAACTCCAATTATGAAGATTCTTAGCAATTATTCTCATGCCCATCCTTTCCTTTTACTTCTAGATATCTTGGTACAGGCTGTTTGTGATCTTGTGTAAACTACTGCAACAGACTCCTGTATTGTTTATCTACCAACTTTCTCCTCACCACCTCAACCTATCTTGCACACAATCTTTAGAAAATATCATTTAACCACAATGCTATTTTCTACATTTTAAGTAGAAAAATGACTGCCTATAGCATTGAAATATGTTCAAATACCTGTAAGCCTCATGTGTTATGCTTTGGGTACTTGATCTTGCCCACTATTTACAGTCTCATTTATTATTCATTTCCATATCCTCATATATACTGAGATTCTTTCAGGCATTGTCCACCACATACCTGCCATGTATCCCTGGGCTTTCTATCCCCATGCATTCTTTTCCACGTACCACATATTCTTTAAAAACAAATCTCAGCTACCTTTACTTTTTCTCCTTTCTTCCATGCCTATTCATTCTACCTGTATTTCAAGGGAAACCATAATTTATATCTCTGGTTTGAGGTCTTTCCAAAGCACCTTCTCATTCAAACCTTTCTGCAAGGTTACCGCAGAGCTATTGGTTGCCTAGTAGTTTCATATCTCTTAGTTGGAAAATCTCAATTCCCAGGTTAATGTACTTTATTCCCTCATTAGGCTCACGTTTTATCAACTGCCTAAAATTGTCTATGAGTAATGCATTGCCAGGAAATTTCTTTTCTCTTGAACTGATGATTAAATTTTCTTGATTTAACTTAAACATAATGATTTTTGAGGGCCAGAGAGATAGTATGGTAGGCAGAATATATACCTTGGATGTGAATGACCTGAGTTCAATCTGCAGCATCCAATTTGATCCCCTGAATCCTCTAGGAGTCATCTCCGAGTGTAGAGCCAGGATAAGACCTGAGCATCACTAAATGTGCTGCACCCCAAGTCCTCCAAAATAATAATGTCTCGGGGCTGAAGAGACATTATACCGAAGGTAAGGTGCTTGCCTTGCATGAGGGTAATCCCAATTTGAACTCCTCACCACCTCAACCTATTTTGCACACAATCCTTAGAAAATATTACACTCTCTTTAGAAACATTGCTTTAGAATTCCTGGCACTGCATATGCTCCACAACCCAAGAGTAAGCCCTGTGCATCATCCCACGTTGCTCAATCCCCTCCTCCAGTGCAATGATCTCTCTTCTAGTAAGATTACAAAGATGGACTTTGCCCCCAAAGGATTCGGTTCATTATGAAAGAGAGCACTACACTCCTGGTATTATGTAACTAGCATGGAAGGATTAAATTTCATAAAGGCCATACCTGGTGCTGTTTGGGGGCTTAAAATCATACCCTGTGGGTGCTGGGCTGGGGTCATGCCTAGGTTAGAAGTTAAATCTTCACACATGCTAGGCTGGTGTTTTACCACTTGAGCCACATCCCTAGCTCCTAAGGTGCTATTTTTCTGGTGCCTCTTAATGTGGTATGCGTAGTCGTCTATTTTGCGAGGTACACAAAAACCCATGACTTTACAAAATTATTATCAGGATAAAGTTAAGCTAGAGGGTGTCCACTAAATTTTTATTTGTATGTGAAATGCTTTAACTAAGAATATGAATGTGTTAAATGATACTCAGCTATGGTTAAAACTATAGAAGAGGGCTTTCAACAACCTAAAGAGTTATTATACGCTGTAACACGCTTTACAATAAGCGTTCATGTTTCAAACTCAACCCCAGTGAAATGCTGGAAATAACTCAAGTCCAGAAGCTAGTAAGGTCAGGATGCAAGTACTTAGGTAAAGATACTCAGGTCTCTGACTAAAGCTCTTCAAGTTTCTTGACCTTTACTATGATTCCCTTTTGCAAATAGGAAAATTCAATGTAATTATGCAAATGTGAGTGATTGGCTTTTGTTTTTATATCCTACTTTATTTCCTTAAAAAAAATTACTTTCTAAATTAAATCCCTTGTCTCCAGAATAGGAGCAGGGGTACTTGCATGTGTTTTGGTGCTTTTCTAGGCACATTTATAAAACATGCAAGGAAAAGGGCCCGGTTTTCTTACTGGCTAAGCGAACCATTAATTCTTCACCTTGGCACCTCAACCTACAGCTGTAGCAGGGGCCGTTATGCCCAAATAGGCCCTTAAACGGAAGACCTGCTGAGCCGAGACCCACTTTCCCAGCCCTGCTCAACTGCCTTGGCTTTTCTGCCAACTGACCAGGCGGAAGCAGCAGCAGGGGAGGAGGGCCCGCAGGTAGGTGGGGAGGGGATCATTTTGAAAGCCTTAAATCCCTCACAGGGAAGAAGCAGCTGCTCCCTGTTTTTCTAACATCTGTCCCATCTGTCCCCGGACGCACCTCACCCTTTGGCGTCTCTAGCTCAACTTGGACACGAAAGGAAGCATTTCTGAAGGTTGACCTGTGAGTGGAAACGAGAGTGACTGGCACTCACAAAGTCTCTCTCCCACTCAAAGAGACGGTTTGGTTCTTCAGGAGGATAACTACCACCTCAGCCGTCTTTTCTTTCCTCACCAATAAATAAACAAATAAATAAAAATAAAAAAAATAAAATACAGATTTTGGTCGACAGGATTTGAAACATCTCCCACAGCCGACCGGATGCTCTGAGAATATTACTTCACAAAACGGTGGTACTCCAAATTTGGACTGGAACCTCGCGAAGAGGGTGTGTGTGTGGGGGGGGTGGTAGGGGGTCGGATTATCGACTTGTAATGACACTGTACGTACTCTAACCACTCACCTCTGTGCTACAACAAGCAGCGCATCTCGCGCGCGGGTGTCGCTTGTTTCCCCCCCCCCCCCCCCAGCAGCCTGTGGCGTGCATGAGAGACTTAACTCTTGGTTCTTTCCCCCTACTATTCAGAACGGTGACGGTAACCTAGCGGCCAGGAAATCGACATTTAGGAATGAACGTCGGCAGGTGTCTCCCTCGGGTTCTCCGAAGGCACGCCAGGAGCGAGCGGCTGGCACTCGGAGCGGGTCGCCCCGAGAGGCGCAGTCCCTGAGACCCTCGGCGTCACAGGCCCCAGCCGGGCTGCCAAGCCCCGGAATTCACGCTGCGCGGAGAACCAGGCGGCGCGCGCCCGAGCCGGCCCCGCCCCCCACGGCGGGCGCAGCCACGCCCCCTTCTCAAATCTCGGCCACTCGCGAACGGCAGAGCTCGAGGGCGGGGCCAGGGGACAACTCGGAGGCGGGGCCACGGTGGGGGGGAAGAGTTCGGGGGCGGGGCTAGAGGTAGCGCAGGCGCCTTGCGGGGGGCGGAAGTCTCGAGTAGGGGCAGGAAGCGGGCAGGGTCCCCCTCACCGGGCGAAGGGCAGCGGGCTCCTCCCTCGCCACCGCCTTCTCCTCTAGTCTTCCTCTTCCCGCGGGAAACTCCGGGCTCGAGCAGTTTAAAGCAGACTCCTCCTCTTCCCGCCCCCCTTGATAGGGAGCGGCCCAGCGGGCCCCTACCCCTGCGTTCGCGGTGATGGCCCTAGACCCCGCAGGTACGGGGCGGGGGTGGGTTGGCGAGCGGGGGTTGCGGAGGAGGCTGGCTGGACCGGGTCTCGTAACCGCGGGGCCTGCAAGCAGGGGGCCGGTGTGGGAGAGGAGCCGATCTCTGAGGTCGCACCTCTTCCGCAGGCGCCCGCTCCCCCACGGCCGGCCCCCTTTCGTGTTCCTGGCCGACTCCAAGCGGCTTTTTTGCTGTGGTCTTCAGTCATCTCGTGCTCCTTTGGGGTTAGGGCCTGCGGCAAGGGTGCGCGTTTTAGGTAAACTCGGGTCCCTTCGTGGCTCACACACGTTCTCCTTCCTGCGCCTGCTCCTCTCCGCATTGCGTTCCCTTTTTCCCATTGGAGCGCAGACTCCCCTAGTTAGCAACGTGCCCAGCTATTCCACAGGCCTCATGCCCGGTGGCAAAAGTCACGTTGCCCTGGAAAGGACATCCGGAGGCTTGGTCAATGTTATTTTAAACGTTGAAGCGTCCATCCACCCTACTAACATCTGCAGTTTCAGGTGCCCCTGAATTTCCCTCCTTTAGTGGTAGCTCCCACCTGTGGCGTGTTTTAAACTTTAAGCAATTTAGATTAAAAAAAATAATAAATGCATTTTGCGGAGCACCTGTAATTGGTCTCATCCCTTCCCTTCATTTGGTGGATATGAAAGCTCAAGGAATTGGGAGGTGAAAAGGCTTCAGAATTTTTGGAGATTTAGAAATGAAAAATCTACCCTCCAGAACCACGAACTTGTGTAGTGGACATTTCAGGAACACTTTATAATCAAGCCGAATTCAGCTTTCAGTTATCCGAACAACCCTTATGTGGCATGGAACCTCTCTGTTCTAGGGGTTAGAACGTCTAGGCTGAGACGATCAGGGCACACTCCAACATGAAGCATAGGGGGATTTCTGGAACACAAGAGTGATTACAAGAGTTTGGGACCTGCTGATTGCGTGAGGCTGTGAAGAGGTTCTTCATTGATCTGGGCTTTGGAGATTTGGGATTTCAGTGGTGGGATTTGGATAAGAGATGGCAGAATGAGCAGATGTGTAGGCAGTATCTTGCACAGCGTGATGTTTGGTTGCAGGGGAAATAACCCCGATTTGGTTGAGAGAGGGTATGAGGGGAGTGAAAGTATAGATCAGGAAAGGTAAGGTTGGAAAGTAAGTTGAGGCTCATATAACTGTAGTATTTCTGAGCTGGAAGACCTGTTCAGAGTAACCTCAGATTACAGATGAGCAGTTTTGAAATTTGACAACAAAGAAATATAAGAAAAGCATTTCGTAGTTGCCTTTACTTTTTTCTTTTCTGTTTTCTTACAGTCCATTTAATCTTACACATGCACTAGCCCAAGCTAGTTGCTTTATAGAGTCAAGTGTTTGGAAATAACTCAGATAATTTCATTTCCTGCTGAGTAGTATAGGCCATACCACCTCTTGAGTATTTATTAAGTAACCAAGTGCTCATACCATGTCATGTTCTATTTTAATGGTAAAAAAAATGCATATACTTAGACAAATTGTAATTATGGGATAAAATAACCTGTCATGTGGTGGGTGTTGAAGAGGGAACTACATTACTTCGGTAGTCCTATGAAGAGCTCTATGAGTAAGAACCTTTTGAGTTGGAATCTGAAGAGGTAACAGGCAGCAGTCCCCTGAAGAAATAGGCACTGAGTGTGCTAGCCAGTGGAAAGGGCAAATTCTGGATGAGGCAAGATGTGGAGGAGTTAGGTGATGGAAAAGTATGTAAGAGCAAGAAGTTGTAAGGCCTTGATGGCTGTCATAAATAAGAATTTGGACTTCCTTGATGTAGGAGCGGCAGTTGGAGGTTTTTAAAAGTGGCTTGTATTATTAAATAATTCCTGTCTTTGCTACTTTGACTGCAGTACTGGTAGAGGAGAGCCAGGAGACTCGAGATACACTAATCAAAGAGGAAGTCTTTGTAATTTGCTACCAGAATGGATGTGGAGAATTTGATATTGAGCAAAGTTACACAGAGGAAAAGAGATACAGAATGATCTTCTAGTACAAGATATAGTTGGAGAATAATAAATGCCCAAAGGCAATAGAAATGAAGAGAATGAGAACTGATCTTAAGTTAGAGGCTTGCCACTGGAGCATTGGGAGGAGACCAGAGAAAGGAAAGGCACAACAATAGTCAAAGGGCAATGGGCACTCCCGAAGAGGACTTGGTGCTGAAAGGGGGTAAATGGGTATGCATCTTCCACAGTATTGTAAACCACAGTACCTTAAAGGAAAGGAAACAGTGTCTGCCCTAGAGGCAGGCTGTAGGGCAGGAGGGAGAAGTAACATCTGGGAAGGGACTTAGGTACTGGTGAAGAAATTGGTATTGGAACATTTTACACCTGAAATTCAACCCTGAACTATCAATAGCTTTATTACTTTGTAATTCACAAGTTGGAGTTAGTGGGGGGGAGAGGGGACTGTAGTCATTCAGGCCAATTTTGTTAGTTTCTTGGCCTTGGATGACATTAGGCCATGGAGAGGAATTGTCTACTTGATAAGTTTTGTAGGAGAAATTGACGGGATCCGCAGTTGCACTGAATAAGTGCTGTAAGTGGGAGTGAGGGAGGCATAATTTCTAGGCTTTTACATCACAGGCATTGGGTTGGATAGTCTGATCTAACAACGTGATCTTTGGATATTTTGACAAAAGTGGGGAGGGAAGCAAGATTGAAATGGAAAGTAAGAAAGTAGAGTTTATTTGATAGGACATTTTATGTCCTAAATCTCCCTGTGTGTTTAAGTTTTTTAATACTAATGGATTGAAGATATTTATGTATTTTTTTCCAATCTAATTTTTTTTTGCTGCAATTCTAAGTAGAAGCATAGTTTCGTTTCACACTTGATATTATGCTCTTTTGAGGTTAATGTGACTTCACTTCACTAAGCGGTGTTTCCATCTACCTGAGAGGAGAGATGCAAATGAGATTTTTACTGTATGCCCTATCTTCAGTAAAGATTGTTTCATTATTGCATTTGTTGATGTTATACAAATTTAGACATTTGTGAGCTGATTTGAACTCATCTGTTGGATCCATTTTTTTTCCTCAAAAAGCTCTGGCCCCAGGAGTTGCAACAATACAGGGTGTAAATTGCATTTTTTGCACAGTAACCTAAGCTCCTCATAGTACCCACAGAGTACTACCAGGGGTGATCCCTGAGAACAGAGCCAGGAGTAAACCCTGAGCACTGATGGCTGTGAATCTCCCCCAGCCCCCCAGTATCTTCCACGAAACTTCAAACCCTACAACCATATTCGGGTTGCATATTTTATATACTTAATAATTTTTTTTTCATACCCAGCGGTACTCAGATCTTACTCTGCTCTCAAGAATTATCGGTGGAAGTTCTCAGGGAACAGTATGTGGTGCCTGCGATAGAACTAAGTTCAGGCATGTGCAAGACAAACACCCACTATACTATCTCTTCAACCCCCCCATACTTAATATTAGCACTTGAATCACTTGTCATCCGGTTGCTCATCAGTTTGCTCGAGCGGGCACCAGTAACCTCTCCATTCGTCCCTGTGGCGTGCTAGTGTAGTCCAATGTTGCCTGCTCGCTCCAGGAACACGAAGAGCATCAAACTGTTCATTCGGGGCTTTGACGAAGTAGTTTTGCTTCGTCCAAACTTAGTAATATATACAGATTTATTTTTCTTTTTGTTACTGTAATCAGTTTAACAATAACATGAGTTTGATTCTTCCGCCCCTATTGGAGAGCCCAGCAAGCTCCAAACACAGTAAGGATTGTCACAGTGGAGACATTACTGGGCCCGCTCGAGCAAATCGATGAACAATGGGAGGACAGTGACAGTTGTTACTGGAGAAGTAACAATAGCATTCTTCAAATTTTCATTGTTTTTTCTTTTTATTTGAATGCAAAGAGAAAAACATAGGGTCTAAAACACCCAGAAAAAGTGGCTGAGGAGAAATATTAAACTTTTAAAAGATTCAGTAAGTTATTTACTTAGTTTATCAGCATCAGCTGGAGCGATAGCACAGCGGTAGGGCGTTCGCCTTACAAGCGGCCAACATGGCCGACCCGAGTTCGATTCCTCCGCCCCTCTCGGAGAGCCCGGCAAGCTACCGAGAGTATTCGATATGCCAGACACAGTAACAACAAAGTCTCCAATGGAGACGTTACTGGGCCCGCTCGAGCAAATCGATGATCAACGGGAGGGCCTTTATCAGCATCAGACTAATGCATGTTTCCTTGTTTTCTTAGTGACATGAGCCATGCTACAAGACTAGGGCTCAACCAGTAGGATAGAGGGACCAAAAGAAGGAAAGAAGGTTGGAAAAGGGCCATGTTTTTTTTTTTTGTTTTTAAGTTAAAAAACACTGTTTTACAGGACAGAGATCTGAGTCCTGTAATCAAAGAGACATTCTGGCCAGACTGTAGTCATTCTTACTAGGATGATAAAGTTAAAAGGAAAGGGACAAGGGAGTTAAGGTAGAGGTACAGGCTGGAAAAATTAAGCTAGCATAGAAGTATCTTTAGGAGTAAATAACTATGAAACTTAAAAAAGAAAAAGAGGGATTTCCGTATAAGAACCAAATTGGTTCGAACATTCTCATTATTAGAAAGGTGTATCTTATTCTTTTACTTCTTTACCTAGGAAGATTCTGTTAGATTCTGATTAGCTTCCCGTTCTTTTTGTGGATTCATAGCAAGTGCGGTTGTCAGTAGCCTTATAATCTAGTGCTGCCCATATTGCAGGAACACGTGTGCCTTAAAGCAAAATCTGAGCTAACAAATTCAGCCGATGAAAAAGGTGAAAATTGACTTTCAGGTGATGATAGAATGTCGGGAAGTTAGAGCCTTGGAAATTTTCTTGGTGGCGTTATTCTGATTTTTTTTTTCCAGTATAAATTCATGTGCCTATATCATAGCAAATTCAAAATTTGATTTTTTTTTTGCAGGCTTTTGTGAAAATGTGTATAACATGTGCCCCACATGATATTGAGAGAATCACTTTAATTTCATGAAATTAGAAATGCTATGTTTATAATATTACTTCTGTTGAGGTATTTAATAACTTTGAAATATGTATAAAATCATAGCTGTCATAATAATTAATAGTGTATGGTGTGCTGTTAAATAGGATAATAAACAACAATTTTTTTTGTTTGTTTCTTTTGGTTTTTAGGCCATCCCCAGCAGTAGTACTCAGGACTTATTCCTGGCTCTGCACTCAGGGATTACTATTGGCAGGGTTTCAGGGGCCATATTGAATTCCTGGAATCAAACTCAGGTCGGCCAAATGCAAGACAAGCACTGTACTCACTGTATTATTGCTCAAGCCTTTCAACAGAATTTTTGAGATTCATTTATGTTGAGTATATTAGTAGCTGTTTTTTTGTTATTGGGCATTTAGGTTTTTTCAGTTTGTTACTATTTTGAATAATGCTTCCATACAGCGAGTAGGGCGTTTGCCTTGCACGCAGCCAACATGGCCGACCCGAGTTCGATTCCTCTGCCCCTCTTGGAGAGCCCGGCAAGCTACCGAGAGTATCTCGCCTGCACGGCAAAGCCTGGCAAGCTACCCGTGACATATTCAACATGCCAAACACAGTAACAAGTCTCACGATGGAGACATTACTGGACCCGCTTGAGCAAATCGATGAACAACGGGAGGACTGTGACCGTGATCTAGTATGGAAAAATTAAGAAACACCTGGGGTATGCTCTGAGTCTTAATCATAGTGCTCTTCAAAATAAACTTGTACATGTTTTATTATTATACATTTTCATTTATCTATGTTGGGTAGGTTAATACCTCAGAGAGGAAAATAGGTTGGGTGTATATTTAGTTTTATAAATTAGCAAGCAGTTTCCTAGAGAAGTTTTTCATTTCACACTCCCACCAGTTGCTCCACATTCTCCCCAACATTTGATGTCGTCAGTGTTTTTAACTTTAGTCATTCTGGTGGTGTGAAATGATATCATGGGCTTAATTTGCATTTCTTAATGACTAATGAATTTTCAGTACTGCTTCATATATGGTTTTACAATTTGTATATATTTTTTTGTTAGTCTATTCAACCCCTGTACCCCATTTTGTTAGGTTGTATTTTTTGTTATGGACATATGGTTCTTTATAAAATATGATTTTGAGTCCAATATATATGTAAAATACATGAACAGTTTGATACAGTTTCAAGTGAACAGTTTCTTTTGGCCTGTGGCTTAATGAATTGTAGATTTCATACATGACATGTAAAATATATTACCTTTTTCCTACTTGATGTCTTTGTAATCTCTAAGAAGTATGACTGTTTTAGTGAATTGAAGGATTTCTGTTTCAAAGTTTCCATTTTTTACACTGAGGTTTATGATCCATGGCAAGTTGACTTTGGGGATTTATTTTGTGATAGGGAGGTCAAATTTATTTTCATGTTTATCCACATACACCATACTTGTTGAAAGTACTTGTATTTCTTCATTGACTAGTTAATTTGTCAAAATGGTAACACTGTATATACATGGAAGTATTTCTGAACCTGACCAATCTATTTGTTTATTCTAATTAGTATATCACACCAGTTTGGCTGCTTTTTGTAGCTTTGTAATGGGACAATTACTTGTAACTTCAATGATCTGTAATTGAAATCAGGTAATGTAAGGCAAAATGTATTTGTTCTTCTTTTTATGGTATTTTGACTAGAATCACTTCCTCTATCATATATAACTTAAAATTGTTTTCTTATAACCTTACTTTGAAATAGTTTAATAATCCAGACTGCCAAATAGAGCAGTTTTCATGTACCTTTTCCGCTTTCCCTAAGTATCACATCTTAGGCAACTTGTGCTCAATAGGTGTGCTAACTGCTTTAATGAAGAAAAATTGTTATTGAGAGAGAAAAATCACCCCGTTAGATTATTCTTTTAATGTGTAAAACACTGTTCTATTTGTACTATGTGACAAAAAACATATCTATGGCATTCACACTTCCCTGGGACCAGATAGAAGAGTATCTGAAAAGGGTCCTTTGCAGAGAGAAATGAAAAACTAGTTAGGACACTGCTGTAATTTATTGTCACTAAGAAAACAAGGAAATATGCATTAGTTTGATGCTGATAAACTAACTTATTGAATCTTACCAGTTTTTATACGCACATTTTTACATGCATATATATAGTGCTTATGTAGTTGGATATTTTATTATGACTTGAGGAACTCACCACTGTCAGCATATAATTTAGAATTATTCTGTTGCCACAAAGAAAATCCTTCCTGTTACCCCCTAATAGTCACACTGTTTCTTCCCTTCTAACTATTGATAACCAGTACTGTTTTTCATCATTATAATTTAGTCATTTTAAGAATACCCTGTGAATGCCCTTGAGGTCTGTGCAAGTTCCTGCTTTTGTATGTTAGGAACCCATTCTATTATTGACAAACAAGTCATCATTTGAGAAATTGTTAATTCTACTCTTTTGTTGAAGGGTTTTATTTCCAGTTGCATGTTCCACTGTTATCCCCAGGTGAGACTCACTGAGTTCTCCAAGTCAGTTTTTTTGTGTATAAGCAAACCTATTGAAGCATAGAAATTCTGTGGGTTGTTTCCTTGCAACAGAGTTAGTGACTTCTTGATTCATCACTATTGAATCTCCTCACTATGTAGCTCTTCAACAGATTTAGACAATTCTTTTGCTCATTCGTTGCTGATTTCTTTTTTCTTTTTTCCCCTTATGACTATTTTTTCAAAATCCTTTCTGCAACTACTGTATCATTTCATAGCTATCTATGGCCAGAGGTTTTTGGGAACCACCCAATACTGGGAAAAGTTTGAGTTTCTGGTCTTCGTAGGTGTCCCTAGATTTACTACTGTTATGCACAATCTGAAGGCAGCAGAAGAGATAACCTGCTTGGTTCCTCCTGAGGCATTTCAACCATGAATGTTTTGGTTTCCTTCAGCAAAGTCTCTTGCTCTGCATTTTTGTTGCTGAGAGGTGAAGCAGGGACTGCCCGGTAAGCTCTTTAGACCTTGAGAAATCCTGTGATCCAGCCCTGCTACAAGATGAGACACACACAAATGCTTCTCATAGGTTCCCCATGGCCCATCTGCCTGTATAGTATAACCCACAGATGTTGTTATAAATGCCCCTGACAGAAAAAAAGTCCTCTTGCCCCTGCTTCAGAGCATGGAGCAGCCCCCACTTTTGACATCAGTATTTTTCTGGGGACAGTCTTTCAGTATATGCTTTCTTCCTTCTGTCTGATATCACCTACCTTTTGTCTATAAGAGATTCCTGTCTTTTCACGATCACAATCTTCCTGTTGATCTTCGATTGCCTTAGCAGGCACCAGTAACGTCTCCTTCGACCTAGCCCTGAGAATTTAAAAAGTGCCATATTCAAGGCTCTTTCAGGATTAGGAGAATGAGACCCATCTTTGTTACTGGTATTTGGCATATTGGGTACGCCACAGGGAGTTTGCCAGACTCTGCTGTTTGGGCAGGTTACATTCGGTAACCTGCCAGGTTGTCCAAAGCAAGAATGAGATAATAAGATGTCACGTGGCCACTTCTGGGAGGTGGGTTTTATAGTCACTGGGTCTTGGCCGTTGATGGGATTACACAGCGCTAGGGGAGAGGGGGTATCAGTTGGTGGGTGTGACCCCTGCCTACTGGAAGATGGAGGCTCTGGGTGGAGGATGCTCAGCCCCGATCCGAGCAGGCTTGGAGATCTCAGCCCCGGGACCCGCATGCCTTTGTTCCTCTGCCGGTACCTTCATGCATGTGGAGAGTTCGCTCAGCATGGTTGTGGCTGGTTCTGGAGGCCTTCGGCTGCCTGTCTTTTCATTCCCTGATAACACCCACCTCTTTGTTTTTCCTGGATTATCTAGGAATTAAAAGAAGGGGGGTGATTCTCAGCAGGTAAATTCTAGTCGAGCATAACTTAGACTAATTGTGGCCTGTGTGTAAAATGTGCAGAAACCTCACATGCGCTGTTTCTGTAGAAATTCTGCTTTTTTTGTCTCACAGTTCTTTTTTCCCCGTTAGGCTCCTTTTATTGCTCCATAGAGAAACTACTCATATAACTCTTTTTCTTGGCTCTTTCTCTCTCCTTAGATCTCAATATTGATAAAAGTCCTTTAGCATGAGTTATTTCAAAAAGGAAATGATGTTTTAGTCTATAAATATTTGGACTGGACTCCATGGAATATATGCTTAATAAAAGTTTCTCAGTATACTTTGTGAACATCTTAAGAGAGCTGTTGACTGTGTTTCCTGTTGTCTGTAATGCATAAGACATTTAGAATCATTTTCATTGAAAGTAAGAGAGTAATACCAATTTTATCGTTTATTAAAGAATCAAATTTTAATACAGTAGTGTAGGTGTAGGGTTTTGTTTTTAAGAATCCTGGAATGCTTACTTCCTCCTTAACAGCTAATTTATTTTGATTTCTACTATGTTAAAGACTTTTTAAATTTTTTTCCAGATCAGCATCTTAGGCATGTTGAAAAAGATGTTTTGATTCCTAAAATAATGAGAGAGAAGGCCCGGGAGAAATGTTCGGAACAGGTTCAAGGTAAGATTCAAATATTCATATAAAGATCAATTTCATTTTTTTAATAATATGACTGAATTTAATCCTTAGTCTCAGAGTCAAGTAGTCAGTGAATTAATATGTATGAATTACTTCTCACCCTCACACTAAGCTACCAGTATGTCAGCTTTCAGAACTTACTGGCAGTGTTCAATTCATTTACAATTTAACAATATTCTCTCAAATTACTGGTAAAAATTTTTCCCCAGAAGTGGTTTCATGTAAAGAAACTTGGTATGAGTATTTTGAAGAAACAAATTATTATGTGATTTTAATAGGGAATGAAGATATGTACATATAAAATGTAATATGTACCTGTGTTTTGTCTATCAACAATTCATATAGATATATATTCTAATGTGACTTTCATTGGTGTCATTGTTTTACTGAATTGCTAATGGAACCCTACTAGTACATGCGGTTGTTCTGATTTAGTTAAAAAAGAATTGTATAATACATTTCTAAGTGGAAGATATTTATTTATTCATTTTTTAAATTTTTATTAGTGAGACATTATGAGGTACAGTTGCAGACTTACACATTTCATTTTTGTGCTTGGGTTTCAATTATACAATGATCAAATACCCATCCCTCCACCAGTGCCCATTTCCCACCACCACAGATCCCAGTATCCCTCCCACCCCGCATCTCCCCCATCCCACCCTGCCTCTGTGGCAGGGCATTCCCTTTTGTTCTCACTCTCTTATTGGGTGTTGTGGTTTGCAAAAGAGGCAATGGGTGGCAATCATGTTTGGTCTATAGTCTACTTTCAGCATGCTTCTCCCATCCTGGGAGGATCCTCCCAACACCCTTTATTTGGTGCCTCCTTGTCTATCTGAGCTCCCTTTTTCCCTAGCATGTGTGGTTGGTCTCCAAGCCATGGAGTAAAAATTCCTGGTACTAATCTCGGCCATTCCTGGGTGTTAGTCTCCTATATTGTTACTTTATGTTCCCCAGATGAATGCAATCTATCCCTTTCTTTTCTGAGTCATTTCGCTTAACATGATACTTTCCATATAGTACCACTTGTATGTAAATTTCATGACTTCCTCTTTTCTAACAGCTACATAGTACTCCATTGTGTAAATGTACCAAAGTTTCTTTAACCAGTCTTCTGTTCTTGGGCACTCAGGTTTTTTCCAGATTCTGGCTATTGTAAAGAGTGCTGCAATGAACAAACAATTGCAGATGTCACTTCGACTATACTTTTTTGCCTCTCTGGGATATATTTCCAGGAGTGGTATTGCTGGATCAAATGGGAGCTCAATTTCTAATTTTTTGAGAATCGTCCATACTGTTTTCCAAAAGGGCTGAACCAGTCGGCATTCCCACCAACAGTGTAGGACTGTCCCTTTCTCGCCACATCCGCGCCAGCACCAGTCGCTTCTTGTTCTTGTGGATATGGGCCAGTCTCTGTGGTGTGAAATGATATCTCATTGTGGTTTTGATCTGCATCTCCCTAATGATTAATGATGTGGAGCATTTTCTCATGTGTCTTTTAGCCATTCGGATTTTTTTCTTTGTGAAAGTTTCTATTCATTTCATCTCCCCATTTTTTGATGGGGTTGCATGTTTTCTTTTTGTGGAGTTCAACCAGGAAGATACTTATTTAAATGCATACACTAAACATAGACATATGCATATTTTGTTTGGAAGATGATTTTTACCTGAATAGTTCTGAATGGTCCTTAACATGAATAGTTGTTTTACATGAATCTATAAATAAACCTTTGAATATGCAAAATGGTGGATAATGTGACAATAAAAGTGAAAGGTTAAAAAAATAAACAAGACCATGATGGATAATTAGAAATGCAGATAGCAATATTATTGTAATTATGTTCTTTTTAAAAGAAGTTACCTCTTGGAATGTCAGTCTAAAAGAGTAGTAGATAAACATTTTTTTTTTGTAGATTTTTGACACCACCAAGAACCCCAATAAACCCCCCAACCCACCCCGCTCCATGCCTGTGAGACAGATGATTTCCACTTAACTCTCTCTCTACTGTGATTACATTCATCATTTTTATTTATTTATTTTTTGCTTTTTGGGTCACACCCTGCGATGCTCAGGGGTTATTCCTGGCTCTGCACTCAGAAATTACTCCTGGCAGTGCTTGGGGGACAATATGGGATGGGAATCAAACCCGGGTCTGCCACGTGCAAGGCAAACGCCCTACCCGCTGTACTATTGCTTCAGCCCCTACATTCATTATTTTGACAAAAGATGCACCATTATTATTTGGAATTTTACCCCAACAATCAGACCTGCTGAAAAGGCATCGTGAAATAATTTGTTTTCTATTGCTGGTTATGAAGACCATATGATGTCGTGCAGCCACAATAGTGGCCATGCGATTTTGGATTTCTGATATTTTACTAATTAAGTCTGAAGGGATTTCTGCCAAAAGCTGCTGGGTTCCAAATTAGGTCTGTGTGCCTCTGGGGCCATGGCTGTGCTGGAGAGCTGCTGTGGGGGGAGGGCGGTTGGGGGGGTGGTTGCAACTCGTGGTCGCGGTAGGGCCAGAAGGACGTACCGATTCCACCCCCATCCCATGAGGCCGCAGTTACCCTGTCTCTGCCTGCTGATACCTGGCTGTCTTATGAGCTCTGAGGCAGTGGCCACTGTGCTGTGGAGCAGGGGGAAAGGCAGAAGAGACAAACACCCTTGGTGCCTTAGCTTAATGCATAACCCATTCACATTTCTGCCAAAAGCTGCTGGTTTCCGAATTAGGTCTGTGTGCCTCTGGGTCCATGGCTGTGCTGGAGAGCGGCTCATGGGGGGCAACTCGTGGTCTCAGCAGGGTGGGAAGCTTTCTTTTCTGGCTCTCTTCCACTTTACCCCTTATTATCATCGGCACTAAATGATTAGGGCAACTTAGAGCACCACTGTGAACTCCAGTGGACTGGAGTTCCACTCTAGGTTTTTCTATGAGGGAACCAGGCTCTATCAGCTAGATTGGTCTGTGTATTTGAATGCTGCTAGCATTTAAATGCATACTAATGGGGAAAGGGAAAGTAGATTCTAAGTCTTGTCATTGTGCATAGTCATTTCCATTTCTTAACTAAGTTACTGTGGCCTATTCCAATTTCGTCATCTATAAATTAGTTAACTGTAAATCCATCCATAAATATTAAGAAATTGTCAGTACTCTGTTAGTAATATTCTGTAGTATTACTTCCACTTTTACTATGAATCAATTGTTTAATCAGAGCATCTTCATTGTAGCTCCACCCCTAGGTGTCAGGAGAAATTAACCCAAAGGCAACTGCAATCAGGCTTGAAGCACATCAGGCATGGGCTGAGGTCAGGCTGATAGTCTCGAGATAATTCTTCACCTATCTCCTGGAATTTAAAAAAATATATGTTGAATCAGGTTAAGGAGAACAAAATTTTGAAATGGGAAATAAAATTGTTGGGTTAACTTTATTACTAGGAAAATGTAATCATTACCAATGTAGTCAAAAGTTGTACTTACTTTAGAGTGGCATTTTTTTTTTGTAACACATTTTGATATATAGGATGAGAGAAAACAGTCAAATTCAATTGAGTTTTTACTCACATCATTTGGATGAAAATGCAGATTGATACTGCTTTCTGTTTCAGAACTGCCTTTTCTGACTCAGTGAAACATAATTTTTGGTTTTTAAAATGAACGTATAAATTAAAAAAATGTGTGTGTATTCACTGTATCACTGTCATCCTGTTGTTCATCGATTTCCTCGAGCAGGCACCAGTAATGTCTCCTTCGTCCTAGCCCTGAGATTTTAGAAATTGCCATATTTGAGGCTCTTTTCAGGGTCAGGGGAATGAGACCCATCATTGTTACCGGGTTTTGGCATATTGAATACGCCACGGGGAGTTTGCCAGACTCTGCCGTGCAGGCAGGATACTCTCGGTAGCCTGTCGGGTTCCCCAAGAGTAAGAACTAGATAATAAAATGCCATATTACTACTTTGTAAAAAGAAAATGTTTGAAATTTATATTTTAATCATAAGGTAAGTTGTTTAGGATGAAAATATAGTTATTTTATAAATAAAGTCTTAAGACTGAAAACATCTTAAAATTGAAATACATTTGAGTGAAATGCATTTGTCTTTGTTAGTACATTCTATAACAATTTTTGTAGTATTTGGATTGTTATAGATAATAAATATTGATTTTTATGCCTGGTGGTTTAAAACTATTTTAGAAACAAAAAGTTATTACTACATAAGACTATGTTTAACCTTATAATTATGAAAGAACATATGTTGGTATTCTCAAGGAGTAGCAGAACAACTACAGTTAAACAGTAAGATACAATTTAAAGTCAAGACACTGCTACATTTTATTAGGTTTTTCTTTATTATATAATTATAGGTTTATACAAAAGAACTATGCATGACAATTGTATAGTTTTTTCTTAGATAAAGATATGGGGATTTTGATTAGTCGTTTGATTTTCTGCTAAAGGCCTGAAACATGTAGGAGAGCTTTTCTGTTTGATTTTTATTCCATGTCATTTCAGCTGATCATAAGAATTGGGTCATACTGCCAGCAACTTAGGTTTCTGAAGGGAGTGGAACAGGTTTTCCAGGGACAAAGAGAAATGAAATCACTTTCAATGAAAGAAAGATGTCTCATTATAGTCACCAACAGCAGTTATTGACAACTACACTTCCTATTAACAAGGATCATTTAACTAAGAGTTTGGCTGTTGGATCTTTGGACTTGATCTAATTTGCTAGCATTAATTAGTTTCTTTTGAGCACAGACACTTGGTGCTCACAGCTATAGATTTGGAGGGCTAATTAGGATAGAAAATTGAACAGAATGGGGTAAGGCATTAACCTTCAACCATTACCAGCTGGGACATTGATAAAGACCACAGAGTCCAAATGCTCCCTATTGATGTGAAGAGTACTCTAATGAATATCAATTTCAGCCAGGTTGCTATATTCTTACTAGTTTTCTCTTCATTATAAATTTTAACCAGCTT